AGGACTACTCCTCTAGATCAGACTCGCTGGAAGAGCAGGCGAGCTGCTGTAATTTCAGTACTTCCTAGGGCTGCTTTCCTTTTCCATCCAACCCTCATTGCATACTCTTTCATCTTTCCTCATTTATTAGAGGAAGGGCACTTGATGCCCAAAAGTTTGTGCAACATCTCTTCCAACTATATAGTAGGAAAAATAAATATGCCACAAAACATCGTTGCCTCCTGGACATTTCTTGGACCTTTGCAGCTACAACAATACTCCAACTCTGTTTATTAAGACACCAAGTACACTTCCTGACTTCTAACACAATTAACTTTCTATTTACACAAGTGACTTATGGCTTCCTCACTTCCACTTCCCCACACATTATCTCTCCGTTTTCACCTTAAAACCTTCCTATTTGTGTATATATTTTACTCCCTCCCATCTGCTATGTCTTAGGCTGTTCCTTTTGGGTGAGCTCTGGAAACTTGGGAAATTGGACTTGCACTTGAAATCTGGGATATAACAAATGCTTGTGACATGTGGGCTGATCTAATCCAAATGTTAATTTCTTTGGCTGTGACTTGCTGGAGTGAAAATGTCTCTCTGGGAAAGGGTACCCCATAGTCTGAGCACGGAAAAGGTGGAAGAGAGTGTGATTGAAGACTGGCAGTGGACAGTGCAGAGGGAGACGAGCTGTATCCATGCTCTCCCCTTCACACCCTCTGCCGGGCTCTCCTGAGCCCCCAGGGTCTCTCGTCCCTGCCTGTGACTGGCAGGTGGCGAAACCCCGTGCCCAGGCCCGGCCCCACCCAGCGTGTTTCTGTCCCTGACCCGTCTCTTCCTGCCAGTGGGGAATCGGCCCTGCCCTTTGCTGAGGTCTCCGGGCTCCTTCCTGCTCGGGTCAATCCCGGCGTCACCTCCAGCTGCAGCCAAAGCTGCCCCTGCCTTGATCACAGCCTGTCCTCGGGCTGAGCGCTGCTCCTCACGCTCCTGTTGTCTCCTTTCCCCGCAGAGGACGTGACTCTGGATCCAGACACGGCTCATCGATACCTCGTCCTGTCTGAGGATGGGACTAGTGTGAGACGGACACACACACGGCAGCGCCTGCCCGGCAATCCTGAGAGATTTGACACTGAGCGCTGTGTGCTGGGCCGTGAGGGATTCACCTCCGGGAGACACTGGTGGGAGGTGGAGGTGGAGGTGGGGGAGGGGGGATGGTGGGCCGTGGGGGTGGCCAGAGAGTCTGTGAGGAGGAAGGGACGGATCAGATTTAGCCCCAAGGAGGGGGTCTGGGCTGTGCGGTGCTCTTGGGGTAAGTACGAGGCTCTCACTGCCCCTGATCGCACCCCGCTGTCCCTGCGCCAGGCGCCCAGCAGGGTGGGGGTGTATCTGGACTGCACGTTGGGGCGGGTGTCGTTTCTCAATGCTGACACCAGGGCCCCGATCTTCACCTTCCCGCCGGCCTCCTTCGCAGGGGGCAGGATCCGGCCCTGGTTCTGGGTGCAGGACGGTGAAATCAGGCTCAGCCGGTGCCAGTGAGAGGGAAAGGAAACGTGCAAGACGGGACCTGCTCGTTGTCCCCTCCGGCCTCAGTCGTGCTCATGTCCGTGACCCTGGAGGACTCCTCTTGCTGCAGACGATCAGCTGTGCAGTGTCCGTGGCCCTGGACACGCAGGCTGGATTTCTTCATCCCCCGACCACGGCGAGCAGGACGTGGCGGGGGGCCGGTTGTGTTGGGAAATGCAGTTGAACCCGGCCCTGGTGCTCATTGCAGCGCTGCTTGTCCAGAGCCTCTGGTCAGTCCTGAGACGTGGAGATGCTGTGGCTGCTTTAAAAATGATTTGTGCAAATTTTGGCCCTTTTCCCTCTTTCTGATTATTGCAGTCACCCCAGAGTGATTAATTGTCCTCACAATTGTAATCAATAAAGGTGTTGCTAATAAATATCAAAGTATCTTTTGATGGTGATTGATTGATTTATTACACATCTCATTTCCTTGTCACAAACATTGTGGAGCGAGCGTTTCTTTAAGAGATTTGATTCCTCATGAACAAAACCGATTGCCTTCCCTGGGAAGTTCCCGTGTCAGTCTGGTGGGACTGTAGCGTCACTGCTTGTGTTGCCCGTGAATCGGACACACACAAACCTCTTCTATGGTTGTGGCCAAATCCCACTGGACCGGTCGTCAGTTTGCCCTTCCTCATCATTTAAAAACCCAAGTTCACATGTTGGAAAATCAAGAAAATGTGAAATAAAGCTCCTGCCCATACTCTATACAGGGGCTACGATAGCAAGAAATATCAGTGTCATGTCTGCTCGGAGTTAGTCACGTATAAACTGTGAGGAAAAAAACTTATCTAAAGGCTTAAATTGTATGCAAAGTTAAAGTGGCCCATGCAGCAAGAGATGTCATTGTCACCAACCCCTTGAGTCAGGGATGATCTCTGCCATCACTCAGTGATGGCTCTTCAGGTGAGTTAAGAGTCCAATCTTTGAGCCATCTGCAAAAATTACAGGTCTTTCCTCAGGGGAAAGTAGGCTGTGGGCAGGGATTCCTCTGCTTCTCCTTTCTCTGTCCTCTCTTCTCTGCTTTGAGGGCAATGTGCTTCACCTTGCAATGGACGGCCATTGGTTGAGCCTGCTTCATCCCTGGAGTCAGCTAGTAGCCAGCTCTTCCTAGCTCTTCAAGTCAGCATCTGTTTGCTAGATGTATGCCTTCAATATGCCCTGGCAGCATTTCCTCTGGCCACTGTGAGATCTCAGGCCAAGCCTAGACTGGGAGCTGAGCAGTTGTTTTGGGAGTCAAGAGTCAGGCATCCCCACACAATGTCTGGTCTAGTGAAGTTGGTGCTTGAGGATCACTGACTCCAGGCTGGTAACATTGGCTTTAGCCAGGATGCTGGCGTTTGTGTGACCATCTTCCCATTGCACGTGGAGTGGAGGATCTTCCTAGGACATAGGTAGTGATCCCTGTACAGGCTGTTGAGATGACTATGGTAGGTCATCCACATTTCACACTTGTAGAGGAGAGTGGGGATGATCACTGCATTGTAGATCTGGATCTGGGTGTCTTTCCAGAGATCTTGTTGAATAAAGATACAAGGAAGCAATTTCCCAAATGAGGTACCTGTGCACTGGATCCTATATTGGTATTATATTGGTAGCAAGAGGTGGATCAGGGAAAGCGTGGGTCCTTTGCTGACTGAAGGAGGCAACCTTGTGACAGAGGATGCAGAAAAAAACTGAATTGCTCATTGCCTTTTTCACCTCAGTCTTCACAGGCAAGGTCAGCTCCCAGACTACTGCACTGGGCAGCACAGTTTGGGGAGGAGGTGAGCAGCTCTCAGTGTGAAAGAGCAGGTTAGGGACTACTTAGAAAAGCTGGATGTGTACAAGTCTATCGGGCCAGATGGGATGCACCCGAGGGTGGTGAGGGAGTTTGCTGAAGAGACTGAAGAGCCACTGGCCCTTATCTTTGAAAACTCATGGTGATCAGGAGAGGTCCCAGGTGATTGGAAAAGGGAAAACATAGGGACCATATTTAAGAAAGGGAAATAGGAGGATCCAGGGAACTACAGACCAGTCAGCCTCACCTCAGTGCTTGGAAAAATCATGGAGCAGATCCTCAAGGGATCCATTTCTAAGCACTTTGAGGAGAAGAAGGTGATTAGAAACAGTCAGCATGAATTCACCAGAGGCAAGTCATGCCTGACCAACATGATTGCTTTCTCTGATGAGGTGACTGGCTCTGCGGATGTGGGGAGAGCAGTGGCTGTGGGGTAACTAGATTTTAGCAAGGCTTTTGATACGGTCTCCCACAGCATTCTTGCAGGCAAGCTAAGGAAGTACAGGCTGGATGAATGGACTGCATGGCGGATAGAAAACTGGCTGGAGCACTGGGATCCGAGAGTAGTTATCAATGGCTTTATGTCTAGATGGCAGCTGGTATCAAGTGAGTGCCCCAAGAGTCAGTCCTGGGGCCAGTTTTGTTCACTGTCTTCATCAGTGACCTGGAAGATGGTATAGAGTGCAGCCTCAGGAAGTTTGCAGATGAAACCAAGCTGGGAGGGTGGCGGATAGAAAACTGGCTGGAGCACTGGGATCCGAGAGTAGTTATCAATGGCTTTATGTCTAGATGGCAGCTGGTATCAAGTGAGTGCCCCAAGAGTCAGTCCTGGGGCCAGTTTTGTTCACTGTCTTCATCAGTGACCTGGAAGATGGTATAGAGTGCAGCCTCAGGAAGTTTGCAGATGAAACCAAGCTGGGAGGGGATAGTAGATATACTGGAGGGTAGGGCTAGGGTAGAAGGTGACCCCCTAGATTATGATTCATATAGTATAGTTTGGATAGAGGCAAACCTGGCTCAGGCAGGAGGTTGGACTAGATGACCTCTGGAGGTCCCTGCCAGCTGTACTCCAGCACAGCAAAGTGCAATTGCAACGTGTAAAGGAGATGGCCGCAGGGACTGACATTCATACTTTGCTACAGGTATCCTCAGTTTCTCCCTCTATGAAGGCAGCAAGAAGAAGGAGGAGCTGTGTTTCAGGTCAGTGTGAAAAAAGTGGAGAACTACTTTTCAGCAGAAGAGTAGAAAGAAAAGCAGTCATCCAGCTCCTGGGCTCTGGCTCAAACTTGCTGTGGACAGAGGCCACATCTCCAACTGCGGGGCAGTGACTGGGGTGGGTTGATCCTCCTGCTGATATGTAGACACCTCCAAGGTTTACCATAACCCTGCTCTGCTCTTCTGCTTAGTGTCAAACCAATTGTCAAATCAGAGATCAGGATCCCTCCAATTTTCCCCTTACATTAGGGTGGCAAGGACAGCAGGACGTATGTTCCCCTTCTTTGGATCTTCTGTGCATGTATTTAATAACTTCTCTCTCCTTGCAATGTCAGTGCCCTCATGTCCCCTTCTTTTACCTCCACCATTTTCTAGGGGTTTCTTTGGTTTGGTTCTTGTACTTGTTCGATATGAAAGTTTGCAGTGGGTCATTGTTAGGAAACTTTGGGGAAAGGGGTGTTTGGGAATGGACTAAACTGGATGGCCTTAGAGACTCTTCCAGACCCATGTTCCTAAATTCCCCTACTTGCCGTCTATTTGAAATCTGACTGTTTCTTTAGGAGCGGACTCTGTTCTCACTGGATTGGATTTGGAATTGCTCCAACTTCCTGTATGCGATCCCTTCACTTTCCAGCCAGGGAAACTGCAAGCAGAAATTGCATATATCAGTTTTGAAGAAAAAAAAGAACTGTTTAATCCTGGAAGGAATGGGTCCAGTAAAGCCTGTAGCTAGTTTATAACTGTTAATAATTGTGAAATTTAATTTTTTACATTTTGAATTAATATTTTGCTCCATTTTAATAAATGGGAGTTGTCTCTTGAAGAATAGGACACAGGACAAAACTTGTAAGCAGGATCCATCAGGTAGGTGAATTTCAGCTGCTTGACAAAAATGTAGCTGAATCTGCTGTTTTATTTGCCCTGTGACAGACACAATTTTGGACAGTTAATGTAATAACACAAAGGTTAGAATAGCCCATGATAGTTTGTTTCAGTCTTTATGCAAAGATTGCATCATTTGTATATTCAAAATGAATTGCATTCAGATTCCAGCTGGTCACAGACTGGCTGCAACAAACAAACAGCCCTGCTTTCGGTGAAGTTAGAAGGAGATCTGTAACGAGAGCTTCCTTCATTTGGAATAAGGGAAGGAGCCAGTGGTTTCTGCCTCTGGTGTCACCTGCTCATTTCCCTTCTTTTCATCTCTTTTAACTGCAGTTCCCAAGCTCTGACTGTCAAGCTCAATACTGTGATACGTGCCCCCTAAACTAGCAGAAGAAACTATATTTCCAGAATGAATCAAACTAGATACTCCTATTGTACTAGTTGTGAACTCCAGGAGAGTTCAGTACATCTTGAAGTATTAATGAATAGGAAAAGACCTATCTGTCTTATTGGCACCAGAGGGCATTTGTGGACGAGACGAGATTTCCCATTTACACTGACACAACTGCGTTTGTGTTTGCACGATTGGGATTTCCCGCCGCTATAAAAGTCTTTTCGGTGTGTTAAACACTACTCAGATACGTTTTACTTTGCGCACTCCCCGTTTGCATCGCCCTGCCCGGGGAGTCGTGTCGTTCAAACAGGAATCCGCTCAAAGACCTGTAATTACTGCCTTTTGCCACCAGGTGGCACTGCGCTATTCTGCAGTTCAGGCCTTTGGCCACGGGGTGCCGCTATTTGCTGCTGGTATTTTATATTTCTTTATTTATGTTTGGCTCCAGCTCCCCCCCTCCCCCCCCAGCGCCCACAGGGGCCGGAGGCCCCCCGCGGCCGGAGGCCGGGGCTGCTGCAGGGCAGGAGGGGCGGGGCTGCCTGTGAGGGCCGCACAGGGGCCGGTGGCTGCGCTCGTGGGGGCTGTGTGGGCAGGTGCTGCCCCTGGGAAAGGAGGGGGAAGGGGGGCTGTGCCCAGCCCCATCGCTGTGCTGCTCCCAGGCGGGTTTTTTAAATGCCAGCCAAATGTCCAGCATTTCCTCCCCAGGTTTGTTTTCAACACGACCCTCGCTAGTTCGATCTCCAGATCCCAGACTCCCTGGCGCAGCACCTGGGCCATGGGGAGCTGAGCTTGAGATTTGCTTTGCTCGGCGGGGGGAGCCGGGGCGCCTCCGGGCACCATCGTAGGGCAGGGCTGGGGCGGGGGTGGGGG